AGGCAAGCCTAAATGAGGTTTTCAAGGCCTCGGAGACACAGAATGAGTGAGAAAACAGGTGATGACCCTTTGGGTCGTCACATTCTCCACCTCTAAAACAATCGTTCGCCTCGAACGGACAAAAGAAAGAAGTACCTGAGTCGGGAAATAGATGAGGATAACGGCTCCGCATATCGGACTCGGACTCCCAGGTCGATGCCTCAGGGGGCTGACCCCTCCACTGAACTCGTACTGAAGGAAAACTCTTCGATCTCAACTGACGAACCTACCGGTCTAGAATAGCCACCGGCTCCTCCTCATAAGACAGATCCTTGTCCAACTGGACAGTGCTGAAATCTAACACGTGGGCTGGATCGCCGTGATACCTCCGAAGCATGGACACATGAAAAACTGGGTGCACGGCGGACAAGCTAGGCGGCAAGGCAAGCCTATAAGCCACCTCTCCCACATGGTCGAGAATCTCAAGTGGACCAATGAACCTAGGGCTAAGCTTGCCCTTCTTCCCAAATCTCATCACACCCTTCATAGGCGACACTCGGAGCAATACCCGCTCACCAACCATGAAAGCTACATCTCGAGCCTTACGATCTGCATAACTCTTTTGTCGCGACTGAGCCGAACGAAGCCTATCCTGAATGATCTTGACCTTATTCAAGGCCTCCTGAACTAAATCTGTGCCCAATAACCGAGCCTTTCCCGGCTCAAACCATCCCACCGGGGACCAACATCGCCTACCATACAACGCCTCATAAGGAGCCATCTGAATGCTGGACTGGTAGCTGTTGTTGTAGGCAAACTCCGCTAAAGGCAAGAACTGATCCCACAATCCTCCAAAATCAATAACACAAGCTCGGAGCATGTCCTCCAATATCTGAATAGTCCGATCGGACTGTCCGTCCGTCTGAGGATGGAATTCTGTGCTCAACTCAACCTAGGTGCCCAACTCTCGCTGAACTGCTCTCCAGAAGCGCGAGGTAAACTGCGTACCCCGGTCCGAAATGATAGATACCGGCACCCCATGAAGGCGAACAATCTCTCTGATGTAGATCTCAGTTAACCTCTCGCATGAATAAGTGGTTGCAACAGGAACAAAATGCGCTGACATGGTCAGCCTATCAACAACGACCCAAATTGCATCAAACTTCTTCCGGGTCAACGGGAGTCCAGTAACAAAATCCATGGTAACCCTCTCCCACTTCCACTCGGGAAGCTCAATCCTCTAAAACAGTCCACCAGGCCTCTGATGCTCGTACTTAACCTGCTGACAGTTCAAACAACGAGCCACATATGCAACAATATCCTTCTTCATCCTATGCCACCAATAATGCTACCGCAAGTCCTGATACATCTTCGCGGCGCCGGGTGAATAGAATACCGGGAATTGTGGGCCTCCGCTAAGATCAACTCTCGAATCCTATCGACATTGGGCACACAAACTCGCCCCTGCAATCTCAAAACACCATCATCATCTAAGGTCACCTTCGTGGCACCTCCACGCTGCACCGTGTCTCTCAGGACACACAAATGGGGGTCATCAAATTGCCGATCACGGATACGCTCCAATAATGAAGAACGAGCGACCGTGCAAGCTAACACTGTTGGCCCAAGATCAGTTGAAGTTTTGAAGAATGACAAACGAACTCAGTGAAGGACCAGGTTTATCTAAGGAGACACAGTTGTTATGGCCCATACACATGAGATGCACGTGAAGAAGATAAGTCCTTGAGATCAAGCAGCAATATCTTGATGAATATCTTCTGAACTGATCGAAAAGATTGCATATAGGATAAGGAGTTGAAGTCTCCTTATGAAAAGAGAATTACATCCGGATCAAGAATATGGATTAGGAGTTAGAGTTGTTCTTGGACTCGAATTGTCAAAGGATCCACAATTCGAGTTCTTATCAAACTCTGATTACTAACTCTATAAATATAACGATTGTTCTCTTTTAGAGGTAATGCACATAAGCAGAAGTTAAGCATATTTGAGAGCAAAAAGATCAAGTCTGATTTGCAAGCAACATATGCGAGATACAAGTGTGCACGTCTGAAGCTACAGGAACTAAGATAGAAGAACCAGTTTCATCATTGTGTTTATTTTAAGTCTAGTTCAATTGTAGTAGGTTTTCATATTGTACCTTTCAGCTTTCTTAGAAGCAATTGTATTAGGTACTCTGAGTATTCAAGTTAGAGTTAACTTGAAAGTGTCGCAACAGTTGAGGCTGTGTGCTACACTGGAATTAGAGTTAATCCTTAGGTTTACAAAGAGTTTTGTAAATGCAGTTTTTGGCTCAGTGATTTTAGTGGAGTTTGGGAAAATCCTACTGAGTAGTAGGTCGTGATTTTTTTACCTTTTGAGCCAGGTGTTTTTCACGTAAAAATCTCTGTGCACTTTACTTTCAGTATTTATTATTCCGCAAACTGCTGTAGTTAGAACACTTAGAAGAACCAGGTTCTTCTAACGCGAAAATTAGGTACCACAGAAATCACCCCCCCTCTTGTGTGGCATTGACGTTTAGAACATCACCATAAGTATGCATGGCTTGGCAGGTATTGGGGGTGTCTTTCGTAACCACTCAGGAGATTGGCTCATGGGATTTGCGGGTTCCACAGCTGCACCAACTATAACAGAACGCGAACTGATGGGTTTACTAAGGGGCTTACAAATGGCCATACATCTCAAGTTGCATCCTCTAGAAATTTATGTTGACTCTTTGGAAGTCATTAATATTTTATATGACACTAGCACTGACTGCTCACATCTTATTACCAATTGTAGGTCCATGCTACATCAGCTATATGATCCTCCGGTGAAGCACACGTACATGGAACAAAATATAGTAGCAGACAGGCTAGCACATTTTGGCTCTAACCTAACAGGGAGCAACATCACCTTTTTTGCAAAACCTCCACCATTCCTTTGGGATGTTTTGACTGAAGACAGGATGGGCATGCATCGACAGAGGCAACCATTCAATCTATCATCAACTTCCCACAAGGGAAAAATGCTTTTGGACACCAACAATCAAGAGGGATAGCGCCATGCACCTTTTGGAGACACAGTAGCAATGGAGCTTCACAAGACCCTTATTTTTGTACCTGGAGCGCCAATAGTGTAATAGCTATTTAAATACTTACTCTTCGGGTTTGTACAAATTAGTTTCTAGGCATAGGGCGAGTAATACGCCCCGGAAACACGCCCCGCTGCTTCACAGCGTTCTCATGTACGTGTTATGTAATTTCAATCAATAGTAGTAATCTTTCAAACCAAAATTTTTTAACAAACTTTACTTATTAAGTTTTACAAAAATTGCAAAAAGAAGAAATCGGAAAATATTGGAAAAGTCCCGTCAAAGTTCGAATCTTGTAACACTAAAAATTATATTAAATATTGAAAAAAACTAGAAATAACAAAACACTTACGATTACACCAAACATTAAAATATATAAAAATAGCAAAAATTGTAAAAAAGGCCACCTTCAAATGTGAGTTGTCATTTTTTTCATGATTCTTGTTAATTCTAATAGACATAGTTTATAAACATTTGAAGGAGATCAAAAGTGCTTACTTTGGCACATTTAAAGGATCAAAATTACTCTGAAAATAGTTAAGGAAGTACTTTAAACCTATCCCAAACATAAGGGACTAGTTTGTCATTTTTGCTACAAAAACAATCAAAATCCAAGCTCAATCCCCTAAACCCTGTCTCGACTTACAGTAACTCGAATCAAAAGCTCAGTCCTCTTTTGTCACTGTAAGTCTCTTTGTACCTCCATCTCTGTTTTGTATTTTCTGCTCTAACTTATTCATTTATTTTTTTCACCTGTTCCTTAAAAATTTAATTTAGTGATTCATTCTACTTTAACTGTGTGCCAAACTGTGATATGAGTTTATTAGTGAATTGGCTGAATTTGATGGTGTGGACATAGGTGTTTTAGTGCTGGGCATCAAAATGTTTAAAAAATTACGTGAAGGAATGAACAATAAATGGTTAATTGGATGCATAATTTTTGGGTGACCAAAATGAAAAGACAATTTTTGGCGTTTGGGCGTGAAATTTGCTTCTAGTGGAAAAGCCTCTGAGTTAGATTTTTAAAAAATTTATTAGATTATTAAAGTTGATTTTTCGAAAAATAAACGAAAATAAGTCTTTTTTTCCTGTGTGTTCTCTTAGTTTCAAAATTTCTACTACGAGTAGAGTCAACTCTGAGCACAATCTTAAAAAAGTTTGTTATATTATTTAAGGCAGAATCTAGAAAAATAGAGTCAAAATGAAAAGCAGTTTTTCTTTCTTTTGGTTATTTTTGTTGTATATTCTCATTTTCAAAATTTTTTGCTTCCAGGAGACTCAACTTTGAGTATGGTTTACTTACCATATATTTAAACATTTAATTTTTATATTCTCAAAGATGAACTAACTTTTCAGAAGGTATCTTGCAACCTTGCCATGCGATAGGCTTGGGGACTGTTACTCACTTTGAGCATTTAGAAAGGCATGAAAAGTTGTATTATTTACGTAAATGTTCAAAAATAAGTAGAGGAAAAAGAGGAAAAACAAGAAGAAAATGAGATATGCTATTACCGATTAGGATTCTACAATAGCTCGATTTACATAAAAGTAAGGGCGAACGTAAAGTAAAAAAGGTTTAACCTAGGGGCAAAGAAGACATTGAAAATTTCCCTTCAAGATAGTGCTTTATATGTTTTGAGGTCTCTTTTTGCCCCTGGTTTAGGCCTCGTTTGTTTTTTGAGGATTAAGATGCTTGTATGTCAATACATATTTGATTATTAAGATATCGTTTCTATATCTGATACAGGATAATTAAGATTTTTTTTGTTGTTAACATCTGAATGTGTTTAATATATTCTTCTGTACAAGCTAGTAAATTTAAATCAAATTAATAATTAAATATTATATATCAAAGAAAATCCTAACTTACATTGTAAGAACTGTTTCTTTGATGAAACAACGTTCTAAAAATCTAGTGGTAGTGGCAACAACAGCTGGTGGTGTTGGTCGGCTGTGGTGGTTGTGAGGCTCTGATGGGTGGCGATTTTGGTTGGTGGGCATATCTGGCAATGGTAGTTTCACGGTGATTGTAAGCACGTGATTTTTGCCCTATATGAATTACTCGTACAGAATCCCAAGAAAATAGATTTTCTTAATTATTACCATTTTTAGGAATTTTTGCAGAATTTTATTTAATTGTTTGCATTTTTTGTGCATGTTTAAGTTTTATTTAAATCATGAAAAAATATTAAAATATCATGCATTTCATTTAGGATTTGTTTTTACATTTTTAGAATTAATCAGTAATTATTTGCTTTATAAAAATTCGAAAATCACAAAAAATATTCCATTTTTATACTTTTTCCTTTTATTGATTTTTTCTCTTTTAATTTAGGATTAAGTAGCTTTTATAATTTTTGTAATTAGTTAATTAGTTTAATTTCACATTTTTATATAACCTAAGATTTTAATTTTAAGATTTTTAATTAAAGAAAAGAAAAAAAAGAGAAGAAAAAGAATTTGAAGAAAAGATTTAATTAGATATCGAGTTAGTTTTTACACCCAAATTTTCTTACCTAACCCCATAATTACTAGACCATACCCCTAACCTAATGCCTAATCTATATAATACCTAATCCCTAACTACCTACACATTATCATATTCCACCCTCCCCTCAAAAGAATAACAGAGAAGCGGCGCATCCGAGCCCTTTTTTCTTCTTCTCGATTGCTTTTTGTTCCTTCTTCTTCTCCAATTCATTTCACCTCTCATACACACCCCCGCTGTCACTGCTTCCGTTAAAACGACCCTCTCCTCCCCACAGCACCTTGAGCCGTTTCCAAACAGCCATGGACGCCGGCGAGCTCAGCCGAAAGATCGAACACACACCTTCCCTGATATTCTATACTCATATTCATATCCACATCTCAAATTTCCAGATCTAAAATAAAAGAATACTCCAAAAGAAAAACAAGAAATCAAAAAAAAAAAAGAGGGAATTTGAAGTTGTTTCTTACTTCTATTTTTGCTGCACGTATTCTGAGAATTTAGAGGATCGTTTGGAACTTAAAATTGAAGATTCTTTGGGAAGTTGGTCGAAGGGACAATTTGAGCTTGAAAATTGGGTTCTTGGGTTCGGCTTCGTCATTCCGGTTCGCTGTTGCTGTTTGGCTGAAATTTGACTGAGCTCCGTTAATTCTCTTTCATCTGTGATTTCGAGTTTGGTGGCCGAGTCGGCGAGTCGAGTTTCACTAAGTTTGGATTTCTTGTACATTGGCTTGGAGTTGTCATTTAATGAGAGGTTCTTTTTCTCTTTTTCTCTTCTTCAATTTTTTCTGCTTTTATGTCCATGATATTTGCTGGAATTTTGTCTACATTAATGAATGAATTGTAAGCTAAAATGACATTTATGGCTGCCAAGATGGTAAAATCGTGAAGCTGAAGTTGTTTCATGGGTTTGACACATTTGTTTGGTCTTTAAAAGTTTGACGTCATATATAGCGATATTTTTAAATGTTTTCTTGTTGCAAGTTATTTATTTCATGTGCAATTCATTTGAAGGTTTGAGATACGGACGTCACACCCAGAATTATGTTTCATGAACATGTATTTGGTCAGATAAGATTTGAAAAGGGAGCAAAATCGGGTAACTCAAATGGTTTGGAGTTGGGCCGATGGGTGGGTTTGAAATATAGTATTTGGGTTCTGATTTGAAATTAAGAAGATTTAGACCCCCATAATAAGTTTTGAGGCTTTAATTGTTGGGCTGTAAAATGTTGATACATTCTGGCTAATTTACTCCAATAGCTAGCTCATCTTTTTTTTTTTTTTTGCAATAGCTAAAATCGTACATATCTTTCCCCAATGTTATATCCATAAATCACGACTTCACAACAATCTCAAACTTAGAAAGAAATAATTTATAGATGTCCGTAGTTTGCTTTAAGTTGAGTGCAATCTTTTAGAATAATTTGAGGTGTGCCGTGCCAAATAAAATCATGACCCTCATTTAATTATTTCTTTTAAAATCCTTAGAACTCGAGGCGTGCCATTTAGCAAATTTTCATGGGTCTCGCAAAGTTAAAAACACATAGTTGCTTTAGGCGCGTTATTTTAATAATATTACTTTTCTAAACTTGGGTGTGCATTTCATGTGACCCAAATCCAAATCTTAACAACGTTGAATAAGATGTGTTTCGGATTGCGGGTGACATTAAATCTTCTTTAAAATAAAATAAAGCGGTTAATAATTTTTAAAAACATACCACAGGCTAAAACATGTATTAGAATCAGATAATAAGCCAATTATGATAGTTTAAGCGATCGTGCTAGAACCACGGAATCCGGGGGTGCCTAACACCTTCCCTCGGGTTAACAGAATTCCTTATTCAGAATTTTTGGTTCGCAGACTTCAAAAGTAAAGTCGAATTTTCCTCGATTTGGGATTTTAAAATAAACCGGTAACTTGGGACACCAAATAAACTATCTCAAGTGGCGACTCTGAAATAAATAAATAATCCCATTTCGAATAATGTCACTTAAATTGAAAAAAACTCCCTTGTGCTACCTTCGGGTAGGTAAAAAAGGAGGTGTGACAGCTCTGCCTACAAGAGCCCAGGGTATAGTTCATAGTTTAGGGTTTCAATTGCTTGTTAGCATGACCAGGTTGTTTAGCACCATTTGTCAAGTCTAATGTAGGTCGCCTGAATCTAGTTGAGAACTCTGCCTACATCTGCTTAGTTTTTTTTCCCTAATAAAGATTTGTCTGCTTTGGGAAATTTCTATACAGAAAATACCTTTCTTTATCCAAAAAACAGAAAATTTGATGAAAGCCTTAGTCCAAGCAGAGAAAGTGTAAACACAATGCTCTTGCTCTTCTTAATCTTACATACCTTTTCTTCTCAAGTTGAGTTATGGAGAATGAAGTTGCAGCCAATGTTGCAGGCTACACTGTTTTTCATGTGTTAGAACTCGAACAGATCACACATAAAAATTCCTAGGCTGCTAGGCAAATCAAATTACACTGCAACAATACTAATCCCTTGAAAATAGCGCGACTGCAAAATCAAAAATGTCATGTTACTAGCTCCGAAAATCAAAACCAAGAAATTAAAATCTATTTATTCACCTGAATAATCTGTGTAATACAATGTTAACAGATATTGAACAATCACTTTGCTAATACTTTACCTTCCTCTGCAATTTGGGCGACAATATATAACCTACCCAACAAACTTACACATCTCTGTGTCATCTCTCCTTCAAAGATGACATCTAGCAAATAACAGTAAACAACTGATATAATTAATTAACCAACCCAAATATATCATATCAGATGTAATCTCACAATAAAAAGAGACCTGAAATAATTCATAGAAACTTTCTCCCCTAACATGAGTTGAATTTCATTTCACTCTAGTAAATAGAGTCAGGTAGCTAAAAGAAAGTGGTTGGGAGTGAGGAAATTTACTTGAATATGCAGCAAGATGGACAAATAGCTCAGATAGATATCCAAGAAGATTTCAAGAACGACTCTTGCTTCTAACCAATGCTGATAGCACAAGATACAGCACTTCTTCAGAAAAGGATGAGGGTCAATGAATTCAATCCTACCTCTCAGCCAACTTCAGAATCTGTTCTCCTGCTACTAAGAAAATTAGCTTATCCAACCCAGTAACCCAACTCAATAACATACTTCAGCTGACATATCAAAGCATGAATTGCCACAGCAGCAGTTAGTGATTAGAAAACATAAAAGCCTTCAAATATATGGAGCACCACCGAGTGTCTGGATGACAAACCACAGCCACCAACAGAAGTAGTATTAAAACTTCCAAAAGCACTGCTCATTTTGAAAACCAAGATAAGCATCAAGAGAATTTTTAAGATAAACAGCCACAGTGGCAGTTTAGTGATTCAAAAACACAGAAGTCTTCAAATATATGGAGCACCACTGAGTGTATGGATGAAAGGCCACAACCACCAGCAGACATAGTGTCAAAACATCCAAAAGCACTGCTTATTCACTTTTTAAAATCCAAACATCAAGAGAACTTTTAATATATACTTATCCAGAGCTCTCTGAGATCCACTCCTGTTAGGCTTTTACGAAGTGCGACATTCAATCCCCAAATCTTTATCTGCATGGAACTTTTGATTGCACTATGGGGTTTGTCCTTTAGGCGTCTGCTAACAGCTATTTATCTGTTGCTGATTTTATCAATTATTAAGTTTTGGAGCTTACTGACTTTTACTGCTGGTGCTTCATTATCATAGCAATAGAAATTTTGTTCTGAAAATTTCTACTCCGATAATTCCTTTAATGTTCTTGTTGTTTTTACTTGACTGGCAGGCAAACATATGATGTCAAGAGCTGCAAGAATTACAAGGCTCACTAGACAAATTACTCAACTTAGAGTGGACAGAAATTTCATCCTCACTTGCAGTTACAATACAGATGTGCGACATTCAATCCCCAATCAAAGTGATGCAAAGACACTAGGGTTCTCCAGGGATCAATGTGGCAATCAAGCACAGTCTGCCCTTGCAAAAAACTACATTGGAGGCGAACGCAAGCCCCAAGTAGGAGAAAATATCTCAAGGAAGGACAAGATTAGCTTTCTCGTAAATACACTTCTTGATTTAAAGGATAGTAAGGAAGCTGTATATGGTGCACTTGATGCTTGGGTTGCGTGGGAGCGGAATTTCCCCATTGGACCCCTAAAGCAGGTATTGCTCAAACTAGAGAAAGAACAACAGTGGCATAGAATTGTTCAGGTCATTAAGTGGATGTTAAGCAAGGGTCAAGGCAACACAATGGGAACATATGAGCAGTTAATTAAAGCACTAGATATGGATCATAGGGCAAAAGAGGCACATGAGTTTTGGAAGAATAAAATTGGTTATGATCTGCATTCTGTGCCCTGGCGGTTGTGTAGCCTTATGATTTCTGTATATTGCCGAAATCATATGCTTGAGGATCTTGTTAAGCTATTCAAGGGCTTAGAAGCTTTTGATCGGAAACCCCCTGATAAGTCAGTCGTGCAGAAAGTAGCTGATACATATGAGCTACTAGGCCTTTTTGATGAGAAGGATCGCTTACTTGAAAAGTACAAAGACTTGTTTACGGAGAGAAGGGTTGGAAGTCCCAAGAGATTGAGAGGGCCTCGATCCCAAAGAGAAGGAAAACTAGCGCAGGAAAATTAAGGGTTATAATCAAATATATCTTTGTTTACTGTGCAGGTGTTGAACATCAGGTTTACATAAGTAACTAATCTACTCAATATGTTGCAGCTATTGCCAAGCATTTCAAGATTTTATTTAGGTTTTGTATAAAATTATTTATTGCAAGTTCAAGAGTTTAGCAAACTCCCTGCGGTGTTCTCTTATGTATTTTTAGCATCTTATGCTACTTGTCTATGGAGATAGAAGATGTGATGAACATATGTTAGTGAACAAAAGACAGAATAGTGAGATCATATTTCATGGTTTGAGATGATATTAAATTACTTGATATGAGGTTTAGTTCAAGTTCATCTTGGTGTAGTAATTTTAAAAACTGAGGGGTTGGTTCTGTAATTGAAGGTTATTTCTAATGTGATATTTCTAATGTGATAAAAGGCTTCGAGTTTTAGTTTCAATACTTGCATCGTAGTTTTGCAAATTTAGCTAACTAGATTGTAGTGGTCGGTCCTTCCCTTTTAAATGTGTGTATGCACCAAATGGAACTAGTTTTTAAAGAGCCACAAAACTGATTAATCTAAAATTAGTAACGTAGTCCACTTTCATTAATCATCATCTTGTCATTAAGAAAGACAAAAAAAGTTCATATATTTAATTTTCATCGTGTGGACTGTGGAGGATCACGCTCATTCAATTTTAAGCAAGAATGATTAGAGAAAGAGTTTAAGTCAATTTTGTGTGCTAATGCTTAGAAAATATTGACACTATAAGATAAGATCATTTATAAGCAGATTGTAAATATTATATCCATACTAAACATGGATTAGTAAACTGAAAAAAAAAAGAAAACTAAATCATTCCTTTATTACCCTTTTTGCCCCCGAGAAAAACAGTCTTATGTCTTGCAGAACTTACAGGTGGCCACCAAAAAAATACTCCTAACTAAAGAAATTGTTTTTCGAGTATCAATTATTGTCAAACAAATTTTCACTCCAAACAACGTGAGGGGCAAGGGCGACTCTAGGGTAAGGCATGTGAAGCCTTTGCCTTGGCCCCTCAAATATTTAAGGCCCTAAAAAAAGTACTATTATATTATTATAATATACTAGTTTTAGTATACGCTCGTTGTACGTGTTCTCATTCTAATGAGAATAAACTTTTAAGAATAGCATAAATAATATTCAAATTAGAAATGTATTTACAATCTAAAATAAAATTTCACAAAATATTACAAGTTTCAAAAAAATATGTAAATGTTAAAAATGTTTAGGAGTTGGGTGCATTCTACTAGTTCTTCGTCCCGTTGTTCTAGTACTTGATTCATTGAATAAAAGTGTTATTGGAATAATGTTTGATTGAAAAATAAAAAGGCTTTATATGAGTACTTGTGTACGTGGTTTTATATTTAAGAATTTACAGATTTAAAATAAATAAAACGAAAGTAGCTGAGTGCAAATCATAATCATAAAAATAAACCAAAACCACAAGTGTACTAGTATGTGCCAAGACCTAGTGTCACAATTATAACTAAACATGGATTACATAGATATAGCTGAAAGCTAAATCACAGGAAAATAATAAGCAAGCCTCTCACTAATAATAAATCCCAAGTTTGTTCCATCATTAACAAATTATATCTCAAGCTAATGAAGCAATATCAATTTTTAGTTAGTTCCAAAGATTTAACGCGCAATTTATGTCGAGGTCGTACGGCCCGATCCAACATAAAATATTAAACTGTGCACTGTCGAGGGTCGAACAGCACGAACCATCGATGCATTTATCTTCTACCGAGGCGTTCGGCCCGCTCCACAAGAAGAGGAAAATACATTAAAACAACCAATTCAAGGTTTATCTAGGGGCAAATAGTCAAAGAAATAACAATTTTCATTAACGGTCCAGTAAATGAAGTTTAGCCTTTTACAATTATTTTATCAAGATCCAACATGATTTAAGTAATTAACTTAACAAGTAGGGTGCAAACATCGCAAGTATAACATGATTTGGGTCCTAGACTACCCGGACATAAGATAATTAGTACCTACGTACGGACTCTCGTCACCTCGTGCGTACGTATCCCCCACACATAGAAGCACATATTAATTCAATCCACTAAGGGGTTAATTCTCTCTTATAAGGTTAAAAAGAGACTTACCTCATCTCAAAGCCTACTTTCCGGTTCAAGATTGTGCTCAAACCCTCAATTCAGTGCCGAACAACCCAAAACTAATCAAATGGCATATAAATTAATCATTATATGTTCAAAAGTTCATATTCCAACTATTAAAGTGATTACCTGTCACGACCCAACCCCGGTCGTGATGGCGCCCAACACACTGCTAGGCAAGCCCGACCATTTACACAACCTTAGCCAATTAACCTCGATGAACAAATAAATAATCACTAATAAAATACCAATTTAAGTGCGGAATCCCTGAAATAATCTCTAATATTTGGAAACCCCAAACATAAAATACTAGTCAGCCCACAGAATCTGGTGTCACGAACATGAGCCTCTAATACAGAATATTCACCTAATCACAAATCTGTCTAGGAAAGAAAATGCGAATAAAAGGATAAAGATAGAGGGGAGAGATCAAGGCTGCCAACGCCATGTAGCTACCTCGATACTCCCAGATCCTGCTGCTCAGCTAACAAATCCTCACTCACCCTGTGGTGTACCTGGATCTGCACACAAGGTGCAGGGAGTATTGTGAGTACTTCCAACCCAGAAAGTAATAAACATAAATAAGGGTTGAGAGTAAGAAATCCTGGACAGGCACAAAGTAAGCTATAATTACAGCAGCTCAATCTAAATAATATCAACTCAATAAACTAATGAAAACAATTATAGAAATATCACAACAGATAAATAAGTAAATGGCAATCAAGTGCAATGCAACACATAAACCGGTACCTCCAGTACCCCGCTGCGGCCGTGCAGCCCGCTCCATTTATTTAACGTCGACGGCGCTCCCTGGGGGTGTGCAGACTCCGGGAGGGGCCCCTTACGGCCCAAGCGCAATAATAAGCCATATCGTGGCATCAAACAGGCCCTCGGCCTCATATCAATATCAATATCATACCACTGCGGCGTGCAGTCCGATCCCATACTCAGTCTAAAATCACATAAGCCTTTCGGCACAATAATATGAAAATATTCAGCCCAAACTTCATTTAAAAATATTACTTTAGTTCCTACTTTTAGAAAAATGGCTGAGTTTACAAAAAAACAGTGTTAAATACCAGGACTGAGTTCAATACCTAGAAATATGGTAAGAAACCAGTAAAAATAATCCCTGAAGGATTCAAGTAGTTGGCACGAAGCCCAATTATGACAATTAATCCATTTTTATAAGGATATCACAAAACTACAATCAATTAGGTAGTGATTTTATTAAGCGGGACGGACCAAGTCACAATCCCCGACGGTGCTCTACCCCACGCCCGTTATCCGGCGTGCAAGTCACCTCACATAGCACTACGATGTACAAATTCGGGGTTTCAAACCCTCAACACAGCATTTACATTTATTACTAACCTCAAGCCGGCCAAAGTCCTAGCTTGCTATGCCCTTGCCTTTCGAATTCACCTCTTCGTGCGTCGAATCTGGCCAAAATCACAACGAATACGTCACAATAGGCTAAGGGAACATAACCCAATCGAAAAGGCTCGAAAAATATCGATAATCACGAAATTCGCAAAACCCGATCCCCGGGCCCAGTTCTCGAAAAATCAGCAAATTAACATCACCGGATTCCTCATCTCGACACGAGTCTATACATACCAAAATCTCTCAAATCGGACCACAAATGGCCCCTCAAATCTCAAATTTAGAATTTCAAACTCAAGCCCTAATTTCTTACAATTTGGCTATATTCTCATGAATTTCAAGGATGATTCTACAATAAAATCATGTTTTTAACTTCATTCGATTCCCAGTCAGAACCCTCTTAATTGCTCGCCAAATAATCCCAAGGTCGCTTAACAATGGTGGAAAATAACCCCAACTCACGGATGAAATGTTTTTTAAACATTCTGCCCCAGCTACAGTGTTTTCGCAATTCCCAGCAAATCCTTCGCATTTCCCAGCAAATCCTTCGCAATTCCCAAGCTACAGTGTTTTCGCAATTCCCAGCAAATCCTTCGCAATTCCCAAGCTACAGTGTTTTCGCAATTCCCAGCAAATCCTTCGCAATTCCCAAGCTACAGTGTTACACCAGAACCAGCAATATCAAACTTCTCCAAAATGATCCGAAACCACCCCGAAACTCACACGAGGCCCCCGAGACCTCAACCAAAAGCACAGACATATCCCATAACATCATTCAAACTTGTTCCAATCATCAAAACACATCAAACAACGCTAAAACCATCAAATCACATCGGACTCAAGCCTAAGTTCTTCAAAAACTTCCGAAATGCACTTCCGATCAAAAACCCAACCAAACGACGTCCGAATGACCTGAAATTTTGCACACACATCACAAATCACATATCGAAGCTACAACAACTCTCGGAATTTCATTCCGACCCTCGGATCAAAATCTCTCCTATCAACCGGAATTCGCCAAAATACTAACTTCGCCAATTCAAGCCTAATTCTACATCGGACCTCCAAAATCAATTCCAATCGCACTCCTAAGTCACAAATCATCCCCCGAAGCTAACCGAATCACCGGAAATTACATCCGAGCCCTCTAACTCAATAGTCAACATTCGGTTGACTTTTCCAATTTAAGCTTTCCTTAAAGAGACTAAGTGTCTCATTTCCTACCAAAACCAATCTAAATCAACCCTAACACACCGAATGCCGATAATTAAACATGAAGAGGCATAGAATGGGGAAAACGGGGCGGTAAATCTCGTGACGATAAGTCGGGTCGTCACATTACCCAACCCCAAATGTAGAATTCCTAAAATTCACCCCCGGGCCCACGTATCCGGATTTCGGAAATTTTTGAAGAAAGTTGTTACCCATAACATCATGAACTCAAATGTATGATTTTAACTAAATTCCATAATAATCTTCGTTGTTAAATCGTATTTTTATCAAAACCTAGGTTTTTCATCTAACTTATAAGTTTTCACTAATCTATATGTTAAAATCTACCCATATTCTATGTTTTAAACTAACATTGTATAGAAGTTACTTACCTCAAAGTGTTAGGTAAAAACCCCTCTCAAGAAGCTCCAAAATCGCCCAAATAGTGAGAGAAATGGCTTAAGTCCTGTATTAAATGAACCATTCTGCCCAGCAATTTCCGCTTCTGCGGCTAATTGGCCGCATCTGCGGAAATCTCATCACAGATGCGGTCCTCCCTTGGCCGGCCTAAGTACGTATTTGCGAAAAAATGGCTCGCTTCTGCGATGCCGCTCCTGCGGCAGACGAGCTGTACCTACGTTTGCTCCCGCTTC